GAAGAGCTGAGGTCTGGAGTAATTAACTAGAATTTAGGAGATTGCCAAAGAAAGGAAGTGCTTTAGGGCAGGGCAGGGTAAGGGGGGTCAGCCTGTGTGTGCTGTGAACATAGGACAGGAGTTTTAAGGCAATCAGGCTCCAACTGTGTTGGTGTGCAAGGCACGGTGTGTGCCCAGAGTCTCCAGCGTCCAGGCAAGAGCTTCCTGTGGACACTGAGCAGACATCTCTGGAGAGCTGTCTGGTGATCCCAGATGGCCCTGCTCCTCCTGACAGCACCACCAAGTATCCTGAACATCCAACAGGAGGGGCCTTGGTGTGGCTACAAGTTAGACTTTTGACTTGAGTTTGTCAATCACTCCCCTCATGATCTGGAAGACACAAACAAACCTACAGAGCTATACTTCCATTCCCACATGTTTTATTCACTTCCTATACTGAGATCTGTCAATGATGACCCTGTGAACGATTACTAGTTTCTCTACCACTCATGAGTAAAGATTTGGCATTAAAATCAATAATTCCTTGAATTAATCATCAGTTACAGCAATAACTGATGACCAAAAAGCCTGGCTGTGCATGTTAATTATTTACTATGTGCCTGTGCAAAGGCAGACAGCCAAAATCACATCCGTGCCTCCCTGGAGCATGGTGGTGGGGAGGATAGTTCAATTTGAGCCCAGGACATGACTGCCTTGCTTCTCAGCTACCCTACAGCCACTCCCTAAACCTGCTCCCCTCTCCCAGAATGACACTGATGTCACCACAGCCACCGAGTGCTGGGTTACAAAACCTTTACAAAAAGTGACTAAACATTTGGACAGGTACCTCAGGTTTGGACTTTCCATCCTGTACAGACATTGTTGAAATCCCACAAGCAGTTAATTTTACCTGTTAGGATCTAGTAAGATTTTAGTCCTGACCTCTGCCTTTGATGTGCCTCCCATCTGTGGATGGAGATGGGAACAACCATTTACATGGATGCAGGGATTCTGCTGAAAATTGGCTGCAGAGGCAGCATATTGTGAGATGCAGCTAATTGATGCTTTGCTGCAGCAAACACCAACACAGTGCATCTGGCTGTGGCACACGGTGAAGCTGCAGGCACTAAAATAAAAAGAGAACAATCTACTGCCCATTTAAGTGGCAGCTGATCTGGATGACTGCAGCGCTGCCCAGCAAATTACTGAGCAGGCAGAGGCACAATTCCCTGAACCACATGTTAATCACCTGCATCCAGAGGGTGAGCACAGAGAGACCTGCAGTAATGTGGTGCAGGAGCACAGGCTTTAGGCAGTGGCATAACAAATCTCCCTGCCTGCAGCCTGGCACTGTTCCCTCGCCAAAGTTATACCAAATTTCAACAGCAAGAACTGTACGAGAAAGTAAGCAAAACTGAAATGAGAAAGCAAGGTCGTGTCAGAAGTCCAAGTAAAAAAGGCAGACTAAACCAGACTCCACTTAGTTAACAGTGGGCATAAATGGAATAACAGAGGCCATCTGACAAAAGCACAAAAGCACGAAAACTGCCAAACATTTGAGTGCATCAGATGTTAATGATGATCAAACCTTATACAACACATTCTGGAGAAGTCAGTGCCTTCACCCAGCATATGTCCATGCTCTGTGCTGAACCGCAGTTGTCTCCTCTGAGACACTCAGCTTCAAATTCTGATGTGATTGTACCAACATTTAAAAGCAGGTGGGAAGTACCAATGACTGGTTTCTTGTGTCCCCTACAAATTTGTGCAAGGTCATCACAAGACTGCTTCAGTTTTGGTAGTCCTTCAGAGACAATGCTTGCATATCTTAAAATTTGATCATGATGGGTGTAATTAGCCAACATGGCCTGTTCTACACAGAAAGCAAATCTGTTTTACAGAAACAGTCATCTCTGAGCAAAGACACAGCAGACAGTAGCAGAAGAGAGCACTGAGCTTTAAAAATACGGCTACTTATTTCAGAACTGAAGTAAAAACCCAAAAATTTTCTATCCCAGATGATAATAACTCAGATGGAAATAGTTCATCAACTAGCAAGCCTGAAATACCCAGCACAATCATTTTATATGCTCACACTGAATCTGATAGAATGTCCTTGTGCATAAAACTACTTCTGTGTGTGTTTGGGGTGGTTGTGGCAACATAGAGTCCTTTCTGACCCTGGCTTAACTAATGAGCACCAGTCAACCTTCAGACAACCCACAATGAAGACAAGGTTCTTTAGTTTAGCCCAAATATGAACTCAATGAGATGGAACATAATTCTGTTTTTCAGGGCAAAACTCCCTGTGTTTACTTCAATGAACCACCAGAATCCTGCCTTGACTGACAGTTTTCCTGGGACAGTTGAAATGCACCAATCACTGCAAATAAAAACTACCAAACACACAAAAAACCACAACTTTTGTTTTTGTTTTTTTAATCTAATCCCTACATGAAATTATTCAAGGGCTGAGACCAATATGTCAGTAGCTGAGGAACTCAATACAGGTGCAGAGTAAGAAGACAGTAAATTCAGTGCTGCAGTGCAGCCAGAGCTGCAGAAGGGAGAGCAGTAATACTTTCAATGGAAAGGCAATAATGACCACCAGTGGTTTACTAATATATTTTGGATTCCCAGTAGAAAACTGATTTCATATCCGTGCAACTGTTTGATCATGCTTGGCAATACCATGGCAGAGGTGACTGCTGTCCCAAGGGTAAAAACACAGAGCCATTTCCTGCCTATCTAGATCATATCACCTTTCCATTGCAGCACCTTCAACAAGAACATCAAAACCAGGTAAGGCTCAGTGCACTGTAAATCTGCTGCCATTTACTGGGAAGATCCCAAACTGGGTGCTAAAACTAAACTTTTAGTCTTTTAGGAATCACAGCTTGAAAACCAATGGTAACTAGGAACAAAACCAGCACTCAGAACATTCAAACAGTACAGTCAGTTCAGTCACTCAGATCCCCAACCAGTACTCCTGTAGCTTCTTTAGCTACAATTGACTTTTTCCTCTTTTATTAAAGGATACTGAGGTAAAACCCAGAAACACACAAAAACATACACAAGGAACTGATAAAAAAAGGAAGCAGTGTATTGTGCCTGCCACTAGTCAGTCACCATGCTCATTAATTAATCAAATGCTGCTCCCCTTAGTATTTCCACACTGATATTTGGGAATTCCTCCCCCTTTATTAGACCTGTAGCTCATCCAGGGTTGGGGGATATTCATGAGACAGATTATAGGGATCTTACTTCGGCAGTGATGCTGTTCTTGGTTTTCAAGCCAGTTCACCTACCTTTGTGCTAAATAAGTCTTGAGAAAAGCCAAGTGACAGCAGAGGGCAAAGAGCTCTTTCTTTGACAGAGTTGGTCAGTGACTGTCCCAAGGACCTTCCTCAGTCATACTCCCACCAGGGTCAGCCCAGCCTCTGAGCACCTGTTGGCATCCTGTGTCTCTGACCAGCAGTAAAATAAACCATGGCTTTTACAACCTTGGGGTTCTTATGGGCTCCCTGTTGGCACCCACAAGGGATCACATGGTTTGAGATTTTACTACTACCCATAGCAAATTTCCCAGTAAAATTAAGTCAACCTTTGAAGGGAAAATCATATTTTCCAGAGGACAGGAGCATAAAAGTGCAACACTGATGTCTTTTGATCTGAGGTCTACTTTGCTACTTGTGGTGAATTCTTGCCAGAACAATAGGTCTTCCAAGTAGATTATCCCTAAACATGTATGGCAAAGGCTTACCTAAGCTAAACACACCCAAGTATTTATATTATGCTCACAGCCAGCCCATATGATTTTACAGGCCTTCATATGATTGAATCACACTTGCTTCTGAAAAAGGCTGTTTGGTTTTTTAATCTTAATGGTTCGTGTCTTTGCTTGAAATTTGCTCCTATGAAAACATGTACTCCAGAAGATGATCCCATGGTGTCAAGTCAGCTTCAGGAAAAGCTTTCTACTTCCCCCTTATCCTATTAGCTTGTGAGATTAACCTTCCAGGTTTCAAAGGATAACATTACTCCACCAAGACCTGGCTGTTGCAGAAAGCCTATGCTTACTGGAGTGCAATCCAGACACAGAGAATCATAGAATTGTTTAGCTTGGAAAAGAGCTCTAAAACCATTGAGTCAAATACAGATGATGTTAGTGACTGGATATGGACTGATCCTAGAACACCCAAACTGCCTTGCAAAGCCACACATGATGTCCCATGGCTGCAGTGAAAAAGGCTCAATTGTCCAGTTTTCTCCTCCTTGTATTCCCCAGATTTCTATGCCCTCAAAATGGACTGATCAAAATCAAAGAAGAACTTAAAGATTTGGGGAGTAGAAAAGGGAAACCTCATTAATTAATAAATTAAAAGAGAATTCTTGTGACCTACTTCACCACATATATTCTCCTGTTATCCCAAGAGACTTAATTCTTTCATTACAGCACACAGGTTATGGTACTCTCTCCACAGGCAATTCCATCAATTAAGACCCACATTATGTGCTGCCCTTGTGGCAGCATCAATCAGGCCCCGTCTTGGAACAAGTACTACTCAGTGCAGTTCAGGGAAGTCCTCCTCCTCCTCCTCACATCATCACTGAGAATTCTGAAAAGGTGAAGGATGAAGGAGACTGAGAAACATCAAATGGGATAGGCTGTATTTATGGATCTTAGTAGATGATGGCTTAAAAATAACCACATAGGTTTTTCTGGTGCCTAAATGCCACCCATTCTTTTTGCCTTGTAAAAAGTCTAGCATATTGTTTTCATAATCAAGTTATTTGAATAACACAACAGCGATTTAGATTAGGATTTGTTTACACAGCTAAATATGTTGAGTAATGAAATTAAAATGAGCTCTGCCTCTGTCACATCTGCAATAGTAACAGGCTTCTTATGGTAGAGTACAAGCCTGCTGCACAGATGTTTCTTGATAAGGTATAAATCAGTGTTAGATGCTGTTTAGTGTAGCATTTTTACTGCTTTCTTCCCTGAAGGAGGAAATGTTGCCTGCACAGCAACCAGATGTGACCTGCAAGACTGTATGAAATACCATCACAAGCCAAAACAGGTCCCATATTCCATATCAGCATCTGCAATGGCTCATCAAGTATTTATCAGATCATTTGAACATTTCTACAGGCCCTAGCATCATACCACTGCAAGAATTTACTTATTACACCCTGCAATGAAAAAGACAAGCATCCTGTAAAGCAACTGGAGCCTCAAACAGCAGAAGATCCCATTTTAGTTTGGTTTTCTGCCTTAAAGGTCGAATTTTTGACACTGCTGCTAGAAACCAAGATGCTGTGAGAGATCAAGGCAGTTGCTTTTCAGGGCATTGTAGAGAAGAGTTTCTATTAACTGCCATATGCCACAGGTGATATCAACACTTTCATGGTGACAGGAGACTTATCTTGCACTGGTGTTTATGCAAAGAGAAGTGAGACAAGGGACCTTCTCCCTTGGTGAAGGCAGTACATCTTGGAGCACCTCACTAAGCTCTGCCCAGCTCTGTGGGAGCAAAAGGATCCAACAGGAAAAACTTGCCAATGACCCAGCATTTGCAGACAGCCATGCCCAGCCCAAGCCACACTGGCTCCTCTGTAGCTGACAAAAGCAACACCCATGGGCTCTGAAGGTAAGAGAGACAAACTTCACAAGATGTACTTCTGGGAAGGTTTCTTGAAGCAAAATCTGACATCTCTTATTAAAAAAAAAAAAAAAAGCTGAGGATGGGGGTGCAGTGGGGCAGGGCAGGATGGGGTTTTCTTCCCTGAACTAATCTGTATCTCTGATTTGCTTCACTTGTTACATGGACAGAAGATCCTGTCAACACAGAAATAATGCCAAGTATTTACAGTTTAATGGAACCCAGGGACCAATTAACAACAGAGAAAACCACCAGGCAGTGTATTTCTTATCGTAACAGGAGGGAAATCTTACATTACTGCTGTTCCCCCATTTCTTAAAATAAAGCACCAGCACTTTGTCAATGATTTCTCAGTACTAATGTTTATTACCTGCCAGTTTTACCATTACCCATTTATCAATCGCTTTCTGTGTTCAGTCGCAAAATCCCTCTCTCTACTTGTGACCTAAAACTACCCCCCAAAAAAAAGAAGAAAAAAGAAGAAAAAAGAAGAAAAAAAGAAGAAAAAAGAAATAAAAAACGCAGCTGTCCTTGGGGCTCCAGAGCAGCACTGCTAGAACCTGCCCTCCACCCCCAGCTCCCGAACTGCTGACTCCTCAATAGCCTGATGGATGCGATGCACCTCGTCCTGCGTTAGCGTCCGCTCCGGGTGCCGGTACGTGATTCGGTAGCAGTGGCTGACCTTCTTCGTCCTGCAGAACAAAAACCAAAAGAGGACTCATAAATACACGTGCCTGCAAATGCAAATACATGAGGCCAAACACTTACCCTCTGGATCATTTTTATTTGCGGTCTAATTTCGCCCCTGCAGCTTGAAAATCACCTTAATGCTAAGACACACAGTTCGGAGAGGTGGGACTGAGCTGAATTTTAATTTTGGCAAAGGACTTTGCAGAAGTCCACCTTACACCTCAACTTGTATTGTGGTGTGGTAGCTTCTTACCAGAGCAAACAACCCCAGGAGAAGGGCTTCTTACCCTGTGCTATGGAAAGTAAGAGACAAAGGAGAACAGGGACCAGGAATAGAGAAAAGGGAATGATGGGGGAAAGAAAAGTATTTAAAAGTTGCTGATTAGGCAAAGACAAGCTAATGAAAAATCAGGACAAACCATGAAGTGGAGTAAGAATGAAAAAAATCTTCTTGCCCTCCATCAAAAGCAGGCAGGAGCACCTAGTTTTGCAAGGGCATCTCTGTAATTGCAGTGCCTGTGTTACTGAAATTAAATGGCAGTTTTGGCATCCTTTTTAGTTTCAAATGGAGCCCACACAGGCTCTTCTTTCAAAGGTGAACATTCACTTCAATGAAAGAGAGAAAATCTGAGGGGAAAAATAATGGGAAGCCAGACAGTACCAGGCAGAAGCTTCCAGAGTAGCAGAACTCTGCATTTAATGGCACACAAAGGCAGTCAGCACGCTTTGGGTCATCTCTCTCCTGAAAATTGCTTCATGTTAGAACTACATTTATGCTTATGACTATTTGATTAAATCTAAGATTAGATGTGTTCATCCACAAAGACAACTCTCAAGATACTCATTTCAACCTCAAATCCTACTAGAAACAGGCACAGGCAATTTTTACCTCAGAATAGTTGCTTGATACGAATTTTGTCCCACCCAACAAGGGTGGGAAGTTTGCCCTGCTCCCACTGGCAGTTTACAATAAAAAAGATACTTTTAATTAAAGCATTCCTCCTTTTTTGTGTGCTCTGAAGATAAAGCACGTTAAATCTGGCTAGCACCTGAAAGGGCAAACTGCATTTCATAAAGTGTTAAGCTGACTGCAGTTAACTGCTATAAGCCAGCCAAGAGCTTTCCCTGTATGCAGGTTAAATGCTGCAGAAAAGTGATCTTTGAGAAAAGAGGGGGAGTGGAACTGTGGGGAAGGTGTTGCTCTGCTCTGCTCCACCTCTTCAGGAAAGGGTAGAGGTTGTAGAGAACAGCACTGGACTTGAGTTCTGCTAGCTGCAGCTGAAGTTAAGCATTGGTGTGAGAGAACTAGAATGGAGATTGCATTAAATTTAATTAATCTAGATTTAATTATAGGCAAAAAATGAAGCTGTAACTACTAATATACACACCTCCACATAACATGGATGCTACATTGCATGCTACCACCTTTTAGCTAGGTTTATTTACATCTCTGTTGCTAATTAGAAAGAAGGAGTATAAGGGTTCAAAGCTATTTCAATAAAAGATACACTGCAAGTTTCAAAATCTTAAGCATTGTTTCCAGAGTACTATTACTAACTTTTCAAGGAAGATTTGGAAGAGCACTTCTCAGCTCTTTCCTCCCCTAATATTTCCCCTGCTCCCGAATAAAGTATTAAGACACCGTGATTAATCCCTGCCATCAGCTGCAACTGGAAACAATTACTGTCAGCAAATACTACCTTTGCTAATTCAGATTCTCACTTCCCTTTTGTTCTGCACAGCCACAGAGTGCTTGCCTACCTTAAAGATGGCTCTGCTTATGCATAATGAAGTCTCTGCTGCATGTCATGCTGCAGCCTGACAATACAGAAGCAGTGGCTCTCTATCCTGAGAAACAAAATTTTGAGGCCAAAACCTGCAACAGCAGCTTCACAGAGTAAAAAATTAAAAAAATAAAAATAAAAAAAGGTAGAAGCTTAACAGTGAGCAGACGGGGATTTATTCACCTAAAGTGCCCCGCCAGAGGAGTCTGTGTGGTTGCAGTCACGCGGACTCCTCTCCCATTAGGCTTCAGCTGAGCTCAGTGTCACAAGTGTCCTCTGCACCAGCCTGCGGCTTGCAGGTAATGAAGCACAGTGAGCGCAGTGAAGCACTGCTCAAAGGGAGAAGGAAGGCAGGGATTTATTCTGATGTCACAGGAGGAAACAGGACACAGGCTGTGGACAGACACTGGAGCAAAATAATGCTTAATGCTCTTTCATATGATTTTTGGAGAAAAGAGCTTTGCCTCATGATTTTCAGGAATTGGCACTCACTTGCCTTCATGTGCTAGGGAGCTGGTCCCTGCCAGGTCAGAGTCACTGTGGGGGTCCATCTGAGGGTCACTGTATATATTTGGGTATTTCAGCCTGATACTAAGCAGAACAAGAAATAAAGGGGTCTTAGTCTGCCACTAGTATAATAAAATCAACATGAAAGCAACCTCACCCTGGTACCTGGGCTGGAATGAAAGGGTGTGTTAGGCAACAAAAATTCATACATGTGTGTTAGCTTTCCCTGCCTGGAAAAACACTGAAGAATTATTTAAATGCAACTTGGCTGGAAAGCTGATCCCAGAACCAACAGCAAAACACTTCAGCGTTCTAGGGAACCTGTCTCAGGCATTACATAAGACGAGCCACAGGGTCATTTGGTAACCAAAATGTTGCATAAAGAATAAATGCCTGGCATTGGCACTTATCTCTTCCACATGCAATACCATAACAAGAATGAAAATTCCTCCATCCTGTACTGGAAGAGGGAGATAAAAGGGGCAGCACTGAGTGGGAAACCCCTTACCTTTTACCTGTGTTCTACTTTCCATCTGCCTTAAATAAAGCACAGAAGCACAGAGACTTCTGTATGGAGGTTACCCCTGCTCTTAAGTGGTGAGGACAACACAGAACCAGACATTTTTCCTGAGAGCTGGATTCACTTTGAGGAACAGAAAACTAGAGATGACAATCAGCCACAGCATGAAAGAGCAAAAGAGTACCATCCCTTTTGTATCCGGAGCAGTTCACTAAGCAGTACTACTCACCATGATATCTATACTGCACCTTTTCCCACAGAATGCCATTTAAAACGAAAGATCTACACACATGGTAGTGCAAGCATTTGAGATTTTTTTTTTCTCTCTGTTAAGTAAGCCATGTTAATGAGGTTCCTTGAGGGTATCCCAGCCACTGAAAAGTGTATCTTATATGCCCTCAAAAGGTTCATCATAAACCTTCACACAGTACTCATTGGCTGCTACACCCTACACAAGAGATCACATGCATGGAATGACCTCAGGGAAGAGACGGGCTTGTTTTGTTGCAACAAGGTCCCAAAAGCAGTGATGATGGGAAGAAACAATTAAACAATTTCATGTTACCAGCATCCTAATTGACAAAGCCATACAAAGAGCACAGCTTTGGTTTTCCTTTGTGGCTCCAGTAGTTCCAGAATGGCTCACATTTTAAGTGGAAATGAGGAAGAATATTAAACTGCAAGAAGATGTAATTACCTGTCCCTTTTTGTTTCATGCTTTCAAACCACATCCATCTCTATGATAGTAGGCACAAATGCTAAACATCCTACCATAAATTTTAAATTGACAAATAACACTCTTTGCTAGACACCACATCATGGAAAATGGCAAAAGGCTTGTGCTGTATACCTTCTCAGCAGTGGCAAATATTTCAATTACCATGATGATGTGCACATAGAATATAATAGTAATTCTCTGAGCCAAGGTCTTTCCAAAATATGCCTTCTCATCCGTCCTTTCAAATGCTAATACTTCATCTCTCTGGAAGAGCACATTGTACACACAGCATATTCTTAAAAAGGAACATATTTTTGTTTAAGGTGATTTTGATGCCAGTGATAGGCATTAGATCACCTTCAGATTAAAAAATTGTTTTAAACCCACAGAAAGCAGGAAATGGTCATTTATCTTGTATACCTTCTCCAGCTGACACCTGGCAGAAGGGTGGTTCAGCTTCAAAAACAGTTCAGGCCAAGATATGCATATTGAGAGTGTCAACTTTATTGGATTTTTTTGGTGGTCACTTCAGAAGACGTGCATGTTCACTGACTGATGATTGCACTGAAATATTGTTCTTCTATTTCAAAAAACTGAGACAGTAATGGACTTTTTGCTCTTTTCTAATTGGACTTGGTGAAATCTGTATCTGAATACCAAACCTGAAACTTGCTTGACCTTTTCATTCTTTCTTTAGTATTAATTCCATTTTAAGGTTCTCTCTTCATGTAGAAAAAAAAGTCAAAATTCTGTTAATAGTCAGATTATTGAGAGATAAAGAGCACAGTATGGAATACAATGGCAAAGGACATAAATAACACGTTCTAGTTAAGAGAGTGAAAAGTGGATAAAAAATGAAAGCACTTTCAGCTTCGCAATCACTGGACACTGTTAGATAGCCATAAGTACAGTCTAAGTCACTGTCCAATATTCAAAAACATTGGATTAATTCAAAAGCGTTGACCATTATTTTCCTTTTCTGCCTAAATCTATCAACTAATTTCTTGCATGCAGGAATAGATACAAATAAATAAATACTGAAAAAAATCTTTCACAGGCTCAAGGAAACTTGAAAGTTTCCTGGCTGTTAAGATACTCAATAAATGTTTAATGGAACACGTCAAGCAATTAGTTGTTCTTTGGCCCATAAAGACCTTTCCTTATTTCAACAGATCACCTTGGTTTGTTGACAGAGGCCAAGAAAAGAACTACCATGAGCACTGCAGGGCTCTCTTCTGCCAGCTCGTAAGCAGAGGGAACTCTTGTAAACAGACTGAGTTATACAAGACACTGAGAGAGTATTTCCCTTGTGCACTGTTACAGTCCTCTCAGTAACCAGCCAAGGATACAGATAACCCATCTCAGATCCAAGCACTTCCTATTAAAAAGCTCTTAAGTCTCACAGCATCAGAAGTAATGGAATCCATTACATGCAGGCAGCAATGAAATATCACTAGGGTGAAGAAGAAAAGT